CCGGTGTGTGAAATAATAATAATAATGTCATGATGTCAATCACATGGATGTCTGGTCAAGTCTCGATTCCTTGCTAGAATATTGCTGAGTGTGGCGTCAATCACCAAACAAAACTAAGGAAAGGAGCGAATGGGTGGCACTTGCGTGGAGACTATCTGCATGTGACATGTCCACATGCTACCATTGCGTTCCACTGAGTTCATGGTATGTGGGTCGGTGGGGTAGCCTTGTGGTTAAAGCGTTCGCTCGTCACGCCGACGACCCGGGTTCAATTCCCCACATGGGTACAATGTGTGAAGCCCATTTCTTGTGGCCCTAGTTCATATAAATAAACTCGTATGCCAGCCAAGGCCTACATGGAGCACACCTTGGTATAGTGCAAAGTCGTCTAGTTATATGCTGGACTATTGTGTCCCCTGTCGTGGCATTGCTGGAATAATGCTAAAAGCGGCGTAAAACTAAACTCACCCACTCATTCATGGTATGTTCAAAAAGTATTGTTAAATGAATTTCCTACCTATTCCTCTTGCTGAGAAGTTGTTTTGAGTGCCACGTGCCTCTCTATTGCATTGTACAAGTGATACTGCACCGTACATGACATTTACGGAACAAACATGTTTAGATGCACCCCCACCCACATCCTTACCCCCACCCTCACGTGAAGACAACGTGGTGAGCATTCGTGACCAACACGTGTTATTCCGGGACAAGCCGAATTACGGAAAGAGGCAAGTGGTGACGAATGCGTGGTGAGAAGTGGGTTGATATCCTCTCACTGCACGAGTCGATTCCTTACTGCTTGCCAAACAAATCACGTGCTGTACACCGCTTGTTTTCATGCACTTAGCGACCTGCGTGTTGTCGTTGATGGTGCACTTGTGTACAAACTGTGTTTACATGTAAGTATGTAGGTTGTTGTCAGACCTGTAAGATATATATAGTTTCTGCAGCTTCATACGAACAACTGGATCTATATGCATATTAGTATTATAACTATATATCGGACCAATGAGGACTGCATATTTTGTTGTTAGATTCAATTATCTAGTTGTGCGTGAGTTTATATTTCGACAATATCACGGTGTGAGAGTGGACCTTGCCTGCTTATGAACAAGATTACGTTATTTTGTCGGATCTGCGTTCTTAATGCTGGAAATCATGATAATTCTATCGTCATAGCCATACAGACATATGTAAGTTTAGTTTCTACGCCGCACTCAGCAATATTCCAGCTATATGGCGGCGGTCGGTAAATAATCGAGTCTGGACCAGACAATCCAGTGATCAACAGCATGAGCATCGATCTGCGCAATTGGGAACCAAGTCAGCGAGCCTGACCACCCGATCCCGTTAGTCGCCTCTTACGACAAGCATGGGTTGCTGAAGATCAATATTCTAACCCGGATTATCACGGGTTCTTGGGTCTATGATATGAAGCTATGAGCGGCCGAGGTTCGGGGAATATGAATACAAGTGTATGTGTTAAAAGTACAGTCAAATATGTAACAACATTATCTGCACCTTATCTACATGTATGTTTACACATAGCTCGGCCTGGTATGACAGTACGTTGTATAAACTGAACCTGCCCACTCCATTTGCGTAAAGTTCGGACCTAAATATATCATCACTATCAACGATTCTTTTCTATATATTTGCTATATATACGTTTTAGTTTCATATCTTTGCATTTAGATTTCTACGCAAAGATATGAAATCAAAACGTATACGTTGATCGTAATTACCCAGTGTGGCCTTTTCAGACTGCGTATACTTGTATGTCTTTACAGATCCGTAGCTGAAAGTCAGATTTAATGAGACATCACGTACATGGGCTCTACTGCAGTGTATAATGAAACGTCTTGAATATTGTAACGTACATTACGCTCCGAACGAGCTCAAGCGGTATACGCGAATCCTTGCGGCATTCCAGGGACTGATAAAATTACAAGTCACCTGATAGATATTCCGACAGAAATAGAAAAAGGTTAATCTATGTTAAATTATAGCCAAAATAGTAATAAATGTGTTCAAATACCCAAAACAAACTATTAATAGGCACTTTAAGTGGCATTTAGAAGCTGGCATGATGAAGAGGAACACTTTTAATGGATAGACAACTTCTTTATTGAAGTGGATGCGACGTTTCGGTGTAGATCCTAACACCGTTATCATGCAACCGTGTTAGTACCTACACCGACATGTCGCTTTCACTGCAATGAAGACGTTGTCTATCCGTAAAAAGTGTTCCTCTTTCTTAATAGGCAGAGTGAGTTATAACTTGTGACTAAATAATCAATGGGTACAGACTACAAAAGACAATTAATAATTGAAATTAGTGTTGTCACCCTACCTAGGGCTCTGCAGGAGGACCTAACCTAACTCACCTTCATCTTGTATCGCCCTCAAGCCCTAAACGCACGCCTTGCAAATATATAGTTACCTAAGAGTGTCGTTCAAGTTCACGGGCACTGCGCGAAGTATCCTTATCTCCAAGTGTGATCGATCACATCCACAGCGTAAAAGTAGGCCTAATTCTTTAATGTCTTTTGCTTAATATCATCTGGAGCATACAAGGATTGATTGGCATGGATTCAAAATATATTAGGTATTTTTACACAATTATTAATGACGGTTATTAAATATTTTCTGACACAACTGTGGGTATACCTCGATAAGGTAATCCCGTACACCCGGATATTCATCTTCTCGTGTCAAAACGAAATAACAGGTTATAAGAAAACTTATGACTTTTATATTTATCAGCACATCGACGCTGATATTTCGCTTTTATATACCCAGAAGCAAACGTTATTGTGACACACGAACGGAAACAGCGTTAGCCTTTTACTGCCGCGAATGAAATGCTATTACAACTGTTTCAAGGTATGGTAACGATCAAAAGCCCATAAAACAGCGCACCTGACATATACAAATGAGCCACAACACAACAGGAGGTTCATAAGCAGGTACACAAGGTGAGCCCCACAAGGTCAGTAGCGAAAGTGTCCACCTTGTGCATTGATGCAGACCGGGCATCTTCACTAAACGTGGATGAACGTCCGGTGATATGGCGGGGGGACACCAGAATTGCCTTCACACATTGTGCCCATGTGGGGAATCGAACCCGGGCCTTCGGCGTGAGGAGCGAACGCTTTAACCACTAGGCTACCCCACCGCCCCATATCCAAGGACAGGTTTGGCGGAGATCCTGCAGTGGTCGATTAATTTCATCCCAGGCGTGTGGGTGACAAATCAGGGGATTTTGCGGGCCAACGTAAGAAAAGTCACTCATAGGTGAAGATAACTCTTCTCCACACACGTGCTCCCAATCAGAATAATTATTGGCCGTCAGGCTGGGTGTCTTGCACGGATGCCGTTGACGTCGTGGAACTGTTCACGCAGATACACCACTGTTGCCAATTTTGGAACAGGCTGTAACAAGGGTCACTGGCTGGAACCTGTGTCGGAGGTACGTGGTTCGAATCCACTGGTCATGACATGGGGTCGAAAACGTCGCCTAAGAGCCAAATGTTAATTATGGACGAGAAACGTCAGGCTGCGCGGTACTGACGGCAGCATTTACCTATTCGAACAAAAGCTGCTTGGTCGCGTTTCTTCCACCATTTTACACGCTCTTTCTCTGGTTCAAATCCAAAAATTAATTCTCAAGAGTAGGCTACCACTGAAAAGATTCCATGTCATAATTACCTTTGCCTCCGAGTATACATGTAGTTAGTTGGATGGTTATTCTGACGTCTCATATACAAAAAAAGACGTCGAAAGATGATATTTTTCACCTTACCTTGGGAGTATGACTGGGGACAAGTTGGCTCGTAATTAGTATGATATATTTCTGGGTACTGTATCTTCCATAAACTGTCTCTCAGTGGGCAAGATCTAGCATCATAAAACCTGAACACAGTAATATTAAGCCCCAACTAAAGGATCGTTCTTAATTTATGGCTTGGGGTGGTGGGGGTGTTTTGATTATTTTTATGCAGAAGCATGTACAATGTAATTGACACCCCTCCCTAAAATGTATGTTGAAAGTAAGTGTACAAACTCGATGACACACACATAAAGCCATAAATTATGAACGGTTACCATCTATTAGACACATGCATGCATGTTGCCATATGGTCGCGACAATGTCACCTCTTTATTTGTAGTTTTAAGTTGGTGACATGAAAATAACACCATTATATAACTGTATGGGAAAAAAAAGTCGGTCAAGGGTTTATAACATCGCAGTTATAATCTCTTCGAAAATGAAGGTAGGTGTGTCTGTTTACGACTTTCTTATTGGCTTAAAACGACCTTCAGAAATGCGGTGACAACCAGTCGAATCCCTAACACGTGGAGTTTGTTGTGGTTTGAACCAGTTTTGACTGGTGTGCTGCAATGCTGATACTAGTACCTTGACGAATAATCTTATGTAATAGTACTAGGTAATCTGTTGAGAATTATCAAAATCATGAAATGGGAATTTACAGTTTATCAAGGAAAGAAATTTTAAAGAGGCGATCGGGTCAGTAAGCTTCCGTGTTTCGTTTGCCTTTTTCATAATAAACATTACGAAATTTACAGAAAATTGTGTTTAATTTGTATAAATCAATAACTAAATAAATAAATAAAATAAATGGATAAATATATGAACGCGAAATTAGTTTGACGTATATCGCTTGTAAATCTCCAATCAAGAAACGCTACATGGGCAAACAGTGTACAATAATAATGTCTCGTGTTGGGATACTTCAGCGAGCTTATACGGCGTTGAAAGGCAGAACTGTCACAACTGTTCGATATGACACTTGGCGTGGAATGTGAGTGGCGCCTTTTAAAGCCGTATTAGTCACGGATCAGTAGAAATAGCCTAAATTAACATCTCTTACGCCAACAAAACCCTAAAATGTATTTAAACAAGCTTCACCAACGAAACTAAATTAATCGTCGCAACAGAAGCCTTCATTCGTCTAATATTAGTGGCGAGGTAAGTACAATATCAGTCTTGCGGTAGTTCGGTGCCAAGAAAGCACAGACTACAGTTGTTTACATGCGGAACGATCGGTGTAGAGGCAGAGCAATCAATGTTGGAGCTGCTGTCAGCGAAGTTAATTCATTAGCCAGCACTATGGGGGTGACACGCTTTGGTGTTGGCCATTATAGGCAGCACTGAACCAGAAGACCTGGATTTGTCATTGAACATCCAGATCTTTGTCTATACCGTTAGGCGTTATATATAACTTTCTGCGATACAACGTCTTAGAACACCGTGATTGACATTTAGAAACACCATCTGACTTTCAGTGTAAGAACTACCTCAAGTCTGAAGATCAAGGGAGAGGTGCAGGATTGAGGCACACCACTGCCTGAAGACTGTGTTGGGGAAAGAATGGATGCAGCCTTATCTGTGAGTATCCTAGTTCCTCACCTCACATGACGTGGAGGGGGGTACACTTTAAATAGTCAGGTACGGGAGTGATGCAACAAAGGGAACTATTTGTTGAAACTGGGGCGATGCACAGATCTCGTGAGGTAAAATAATTACACACACACACACACACACACACACACACACCCGATTTAATCAATAATTATGTGTTCCATCATCCATTTTTAATAGAAGAAAGTGCACGTTAACGAAAGGTTTTGTTAATTGCTCATGGGTTCAGATTCATCCGTGAATGTCAACAGGTTAATTGATGATGTCAAGACTGGCGTTGTTGGTCAAAATGACAATCGATGTGAAAGACAACTATTTTTATTTACCTATCTGGATTCATCATGTCATAATATTGATATATGCATCAATTCATGACATTCCAAACAGATATACATACACCTGCAGTATTTGGATCCCTGCCAAAGGCAGCTTCCCTGTCTGTTATTTGTCTCAGCTCAATAGTACCCAATTCTGTTGTAATAGAGGCAAAAGATGCCTGAAAAGGATCATCCTGAATGGTGGATGTGCCCATGAGTCTGTGTCCATATAGTGATACTGTACATTCAAGTTTTTCATGTGCAGAAGACAAATTATGTCATGTCTTACACCACATAAGCTAAGCAATTTTCAGGAAATTGGAGTACTTTTCATGTATTTGTCATGTATGACAAATGAGAAAGAATTGGAGAAATTCCTACCTATCACAAAATCTGTTGAAATCTATTCATATTTACTTTATAAAATCAGGTCAATTTTAAATAATGACTATTATAAGGACTGATTTACAATATCTCTTCTTATCCCGGCTAAAACTGTTAATTAAAATCAATGATATCAGGTTACAAGAAACAAACAAGGTTGCCCAGTCTGCTTGACCCATACAGCCCACATGGGTCAGGCACAGCATCACATGCATGAAATGTAGAATGTAGGTTACTAAGTACCTGAGTGAGCTTCATATAAATAACTGCATGACAGTGGTGCAGATTGTATATGTCATCAGTTTACACTGATCTGTTTGAGAGAGGAGAAGTACTGTACATAAACACCCAAAGGGGGCAGGTACAAAGCATGAACATGACTAATCATTAAAGAACGATATAAACAGTGTAACAGAAATATATGCACAAACTGCATTTAGTAGGGTGTAATTTCTTCAGAATGTTTGAGAGATCTCAACTGATAACAGGCTTTAGCATTTAGTGATGACACATTTCACAGAAACTCTACAGTTAGAGCATGAACAGTTGTGAAACTGTCAGCTATGACAGCAAGAAAGCTTAAATACATTGAAATGACCATGTCTGTTACAATGCTATCAAGCAATCATTTGTCATCTATGCCCTTTGTATTGTTACACCAAAAATAGTGTAGGGGCGGTGGGGTAGCCTAATGGTTAAAGCGTTGGCTCGTCACGCCGAAGACCCGGGTTCTAATCCCCACATGGGCACAATGTGTGAAGCCCATTTCTGGTGTCCCCCGCCGTGATATTGCTGGAATATTGCTAAAAGCGGCGTAAAGCCAAACTCAGTCAGTCAGTCAGGCCAAAAATAGTGCATTGCGAGTAGAGTGACTTTAGTCAAATTCTTTGTCTTTTTGTTTTCTGAAGTTATATTTATCTGTTCTGTAGGTCTCACAAAAGAGATAAAAGTCTGTAACTCGTCCCAGATTGTACCATATGACATCAACCATTCGTTTTAACTATTTATCGTCACCAATAATATTGACAGTCATATCAATATGGTCAATAAACTCAAATATTTCTTTGAAGCAACATCATCTTAACTGAGTTTACATAACTTACTATTACCTCCTTGGCATATTGTCATAGCAACTGATTTGGGACAACCTTTGTCTGCTAGAACTAGTAAATCCTAAGGCTAATTATGCTGTAACCATGAATGCATGCATCTAGAATCACCTGACTGCCAGCACTTAATCCCAGCTGTTAATCTCCATTGTAATATATTTTGACTGTCATCCATTCTGAATGAGCCGTGCGGTTATGTTACTTCTTATTATTACTGATTAATTCTTAATCCCGATCAGATGACCTTGGATTTACAACTATCAGCCTTGGTCCAGAGACAACAATTCTGTGCGAAGTCTGCATCATGTCAGGAAGCGCGCACATAAAATCCCCAAATCCTCATCATTGACAACAACATTGAGAAGGCCTCGCCCACAACTGCTAGGGTTAGGCTAGGTGATTCGGGCCACCAACACAACACTTTGTGCTATCCAGGCATACAACAATTCTTTTTTGTGTGTGTGTGTGTGTGCGTGACCGTGTGCGTGTGTGTAAAGTAGAACCTGTAAATACCATAAGCTACTGACTCCATACAGTCATTTCCTACAGATACCGTTTTCCATATAATTTCCTGTAATACTGTTGTAAAAAGCTTTCATGCCGTAGTTCCCCACAATTCATATTAAGCTTGGGAAAAAATGATCATTTTATGATCATTTATCATTTTATGTAATTGGACTGTTTCAATCTTAGTATCATGTGAATCAGGCTGAAGTCATTTTGTTTTGTGCATAACATGCTCATGGCATTTTTATTGAAAGTATGAATGATTATAGAGATGATAATTTCAGACACTTAAAATTATTTGTATTTGTAATGTTTGCATTTACCAAGGTATTTAAAGATTAAAGACTGTTTTAGCTTTTAATTCAAGAACTAGGTTAAAGGTAATAATAGAAAGGAGCCTAATTCTGATCATTTTAAGTCAGGTAAGAAAGTCAGTCTCAGCTTTCAACTAACATCCATGCTCTAACATCTTTTCAAACTAATATGACTGACTTTCTTTGTTTGAAGATGTTTGACATAACAAAAAGAAGAGCATTGCATGGTTATGGTAATATATATTATGATGACACATGGTTATTGTAATATATATTATGATGACTCATGGTTATTTTAATATATTATGATGACACATGGTTATGGTAATATATATTATGATGACACATGGTTATGGTAACATATATACTACCCATCAAAAGTTTAGACTCACTTAAAGCACTCACTATATGTTATGTATATGTATGTGGTTACATCGAAGATGAATTTCTCCACCAACTTGGGGGAACCAACTGAAAACCTTATGCAGATGAATTGCACAAGGATGATGCTTCAAATTGCGAAAGGCATGAGCAAATGTCGTGCATGTGAACAGATGCGTTTTGGTGTAAAGTTTTGTTAAGAATTCGCCAATTTTCACAGATTTTAATCATTTACTGAACTCATGACAATAATCTTTTCAATGTTACGAATATGTTTTACAATACACCAGTTCATAACTAAACAGTACCTTTAAACAGTATGGAATATTTTGCAAAAAGCTAGTTTAGAACAGTGGACAAGTAAGTGGCTACATTTACACTAGTGAGTCTAAACTTTTGATGGGTAGTATATTATGATGACACATGGTTATGGTAATATATATTATGATGACACATGGTTATGGTAATATATATTATGATGACACATGGTTATGGTAATATAATTGCTTTGTAATTGTAACCATTGTTTTCACATTTCAGTCACCAATAGTGAAATCATTTGTGGCAGGATCCTTTAGTGGAACATGTTCAACGCTACTTTTTCAACCTTTAGATCTTGTGAAAACAAGAGTGCAGTTGTCAATAAACTTTGGGTGAGTACAACTTTCAGTGTCACTGTAATAAAGAAATTGTTCATCCATATTTTGTTATTCTTCCTTACTGTTCCAATTTCTAAATGCGTCTCACCCGTGAAGATACGGGTTAGAATTGATCTTTAGGACCCATGCTTGGCATAAGAGGCGACTAACGAGATTGGGTGGTCAGGCTCACTGACTTGGCTGACACGTCATCATATCCCAATTGCATAGATTGATGCTCATGCTGTTGATCACTGGATTGTCTGGTCCAGACTTGATTATTTACAGACCACCACCATATAATAACTGGAATATTGCAAAGTGCGGCATTAAACAACAAACCAACCAATCAAAATGCCTCTCAAAGAAGTTTGCTACTAGTTGAACAGACATTGTTGCTTCATCCATTTTGATGCATACCTGTTGCAGTTGTTGAAAGCTATGATTGTATCTGAGAGAAAACACCAAGAATTGCTTGACGACTGTTATTTGCAGAATATCTGATAGTTTGAAAATGAATTTTGTGAAAATGGATGCAGATGGTATTTGATGGCCCTATAACATATATACTATCCCGCAACTTGTACATGCTCAGTTCACCTGTTATTCATGATGTTCTGTTTGAAGGGACAATTAAACCGTTAGAATCCCAATAGATTGTATGTTAAACATGTTGAAGTATTGATGAAACAGTTCATAAGTTAATATGATTCCAATTATGTGTTTTGTTTGTAGGAAAACACAAGGCATTGTCAGTGTTTTGACACATGTTATTGAGAAAGATCGCCTCCTTGGACTATGGAGGGGAGTTGTACCGGTAAGTCAGTACCGGCCACTGTAATGGTATTAGTATTATTGTTGAAAAATTATACAGGACAGCAGTACAGTTTGATTGCTTCCTTAGTCACTGTAAATCATGAATTTAATGTGAGTGCGAGGGTCTAGTCTAAAATGTGTCACGAAATTAATGTGAGCTCAGGAATCAGATGATAAAATGTGATACCCTGAATCTTTGATGTTCATTTTCTTTTCACACTTGTTAATTACCAAATATCTTGAATTGAGCTTGTTATGTAATGAATGGAAATGAGCTGACAATGTTTTGATTACGTTGCCATGTTTGACCACTTGATTGCTTGCTACTACTTGTCTTATGACAACTTTTATAAACATAATCCGACTTGATAGACTTCTGTTGAAAGGATTTGCTCAAATGAAAAGGTGAGCAAAGATCGCTAAACAATCATGCGTGGCTGGAGAATGTCTGGTCTGGCTGATGTGCTTGAGTGACTTTAAACAATGACCAGTGATTGTAACCAGTGATAATTAATTACATGTGGCTGTACCTGTAATTAGGAAGTGACCTGTATTGGTGTAATGTGGTGTCAGCACTTCCATTATTGTTACATAATTTGCCGATGAATAAGTTCAATGGATATCAGTTAGTGTCATGGAAATTAGTGCTCATTTGTGAATTAAAGAGATGTCTAAATTGTTGTTATATGCTGTAGACAAGTGATTTACGTTTTCTGTCTTTAAGTAGGTTCTTAAAAGTAGACATCAGGCTGAAATGCGTCATTATAATAATGCATTAATAAAATGCTCACATTAATTTCATGATTTACAGTAGTAATCGTTAGATGTTTTGTCCAAAATGATTGATAAAATGTACAGTGTGTGAAATAATTGTGACACATATGATTTATCCTGTATATACTTTGAGCTGCATATAACTTACAAACATGGTTATCTTTCTCATATATATGATATTGTTTGTTTCAGTCAATCACACGATGTGTTCCTGGTGTGGGTATCTACTTTGCTTCTCTACACTGGCTAAGAACAAATTTCGGGTGCGTGATCATCTTTTCTAATGGTAGCTACCCATGAAGGTCCGGGTTAGACTATTGATCTTCAGTAACCCATGCTTGTCGTAAGGTGGTCAGGCTCGCTGGCTTGGTTGACACATGTCAGGATTTGTCATCGGTTCCCAATTGCGCCGATCGATGCTCATGCTGTTGATCACTGGATTGTCTAGACCAGACTCGATTATTTTCAGACCGCCGCCATATAGCTGAAATATTGCTGAGTGCGGCGTAAAACTAAACTCACTTACTTCTAATGGTAGCTGCAACTGTGGTGCTATAACATGCTTACTCCTTCCAGTAGTTCTACTGCTTGTTGAAGAAACCTGGAAAATCATTTGACCAAGTACAGCACCGTGCCAAAAGTGTTGCAAGAAAAATGGCCTCCTCTCTAAGTTGAGGTTCTCACCTGAAATTTTCAAGCAATGAATATGACTTTAAAATAATGTTCTTCTTACCTTGTTTTGACTAGTATTTGGTGATATAACCTCTCTGAATCCCTACACTCCTCAATCTCCGTGGAATTGACTGGTATAAACTAGATATATACACTGGGGTCAGGCTTTGCCAGATCCTAGTTACACAGTCTTTGAGGTCCTGGTGTGTTTTGAGGCTGGCGGTTTCTTTATTAAGTCTAAGTTTGACACATTCCCACACATTTTCTATAATGTTGAGGTCTGGAGATTGTGCAGGCCAGACAAAAGTAGGGAGGTTGTTTGCTGTTTTCCACTCAGTGGTCAGTCTTGATCTATGGGGTGTGGCATTGTCATTTTGGAAAATAAATTCATTATTTCCAAACACTTTGGTCACAACAGGCCATAAATGTTCATCGATGAGTTCAATATACCTCTCTGAGTTGAGGGTACGGTACCCTCAACTGGCACAAGTGTTCCAACGCCATCCTTCGTTATGAACCCCTAAAACATACAGCTAATCCGAGCCGGTATCTTCAGTGCGTTCAGACACTCGGGTCTCCACTTCTCATCAGATTTTCTCCAAAAATAAACAGACTTGTTCTTTCCAATCACCACCTCAGTTTCATCAGAGAAAATAATTTTCTTCCAATAGTCAAGTGGTAAATGTCTCTTATTCCTACACCAAGCAATCCTCTTTCTTCTGTTCACCTAAGAAATTGTGATAGTTTTCCGAATAGCACATTTTCGAAAACCATACAAATGGAGTCTTCTTTGAACAGTTCTTTTAGATAATACTTGGCAGTGTACCTTATTGAATTCATGAGTCAAATCTGTCAAAGACTGCCTACGATTACCTTGCGCCATACGACAAAGTCGGCGATCACTTCTCTGGTCAGACAATTTGGACCTCCCACTTCTAGCCTTGTTTTCTACTGAACCGCAGGCAGAAAATTTCTTCCAGACTCTAGAGACAGTAGATTCATGTATCCCCAAAATCTTAGCAATGTTGCAATTTTTTCTCCACTCTGTTTAAAAAATGTTAACCTTTCTTTCAACCTGGGTGTCAATTCTCTTCTGACAGCAGCCATGATTTCATCTCCAGTGTAAACAGGATGTCATCTGCTCCACCTACTTCCTGTAGGTGTTAGGTGAAAAAGTAACCCCTAAAATATGTTCCTATACCAAAATTTATTTTTTGATGTAAACAGTGTAAACTTTTTTATCCAAATACCTAACGGCCATCTCAGCTCAAATACAGTGGCAGCCATTTTTCTTGCAACACTTTTGGCATGGTGCTGTACAATAGGGGCAGGCCAGCTGTCACTACTCTAAAGTCAAAACATGACAATATCAGCTGATTCAAATATGAGGGAGTGTTTTTCAGAAAAATTGCAGGTTGACAATAACATTATACTGGTAAATGGCCCACATGTTTAGAATAGTATAATGGAGCTCAGTAGTAATGTTCACACCAAAGTTCTGTCCATCTACCCTTTCTGAGTTTTTGGAACGTAAAAACTGCCAAGTGTTGAAAAATATTAGTGTACAGCTATAACTGTTTTATGCTTGTCAACAGGACTACAGATCCCCATCCTGTGGAGTCGCTGCTGATGGGAGCAACAGCTCGCTCTGTTGCTGCAGTGGCAGTCCTTCCATTCACTGTCATCAAGACTCGTTATGAGGTGAGTTCAAGCAACCAGTAGATTACTCAATTCCAGAAGTTATGTGTGCATCTGGGACTACAGTCATCCCTCGCAAAAACGCTCTTTGCGATACCGCAGATTCATTTAAACTCTGTGGCTCCCATAAACAAAAAGCAATTGCACATCTTCACATCATCGAGAATAGCATATCACCAAATCTGATGTTTTGCTCAAGTTAATCGTGTTGTTCACCCCCGAGGATGCGACATAGTTTTGAGTGGGCACAATGCACGAAATAGCAGTTATGCTATGCACATGGAAAATGCTATTTTCTTTGGCCTTAATTCCATGCTCTGTGTATAAATATAACGCAGGTGTCTCATAATGCAGGGGGTCATCCATGGACCCCAAGACCAGCGTTACAGCGAGGGATGACTGTACTTTTACAAAGTGTTCTGCATTGAAACCATGTTTGCTTGATGTTGAAGTTGGAGACTAGTGTAGTGACTGTTTTAGACAATGGAAGTGTACTTGCTGAAGTAAAATCTTGTCTTGATGTCTGTGGGAGCACCATCATGCTGAGTAGTTCTTGAGTTACTTCTTGTTGGTTAACAAGCTCTCTGTACATTTACGAATCTTATGTCTCAGTATCTTTCAGTCTGTGTTAAAAGTTTGAAAGTAGCGAGTGAGTTATTAGTTTTACACGGTTTTAGCAATGTTCTAGCAATATCATTGCGGAGGACACTAGAAATGGGCTTCACATAATTTATTGTACCCATGTGGGGAATCGAACCCAGGCCTTCGGCGTGACGAGCATATGCTTTAACCACTAGGCTACCCCATCGCCTAGTTTGAAAGTAAGGGAGTTACCTTCGTAAAGTAAGATTCCTTTTTTAGAGTACATTATGTTTTTGTCATGTGCCAATGATGATTCTGTTGATAGAGTGGCAGCTTCCAGTACTCCAGTATGACAAGGGCATTGGTTATCACTCATCAGAAAGAGGGACTGAAAGGTATACTGACTCATACTCTAGTTTCCTCAAATTATCAGTCATAAATTTCCATTCATCAATGTGAAGTCAAGGAAAACTATCTGGAATATCCCAGTTAAATCATTTGTAGACCAGAACTTTGATGTGTATTTTATCTTGTATGTGAGCATGTTCCTGAGAACAATTGTTTGTGTTCCAGGTCTGTATTGTGGTTTGGGACCTACGCTGATGAGGGATGTGCCCTTCTCCTCTCTCTACCTCATGTTTTATACTCAGCTTAAAAAGACACTGCCAGAAGGTATGTTCATACAGAAAGAATGCATGCAATGATTCACATGTTTATCGTAAAGTAGTACCATAGTCAGGGTATTAAAGGTCCAAGGACTCATTTACGAGAGGACTCGTGGCAAAGCAACTTTCGAAAGTTCTTCAATGGATGCCAATTTAGCATTAAAGTCACTTCGTGTCAGGGGATCCTTTTTGAATTGTTTCAAGAGTTCGTTGAGGAAATTGTGGTAAAGTTGTCTAAGGTAGCTCAATTCACTGTACAGGGTTGTGTCCCTTGAGCAAGTTAGAACGCTATGTTTGTGGCTTATAATTCCTGTTTGCCCTCATTATGTTTCTAGGTTTGTTCAGACCATACTCATGCTTGTGAGTTTCACCAAGGACATGCTTCACACTCTATGATATAATTTAAATACTATTCAAAGTGACGTTAAAACCAAACTCTCTCATTTGGCAGCTTATGACATGTTGCATCAAAACTTTTGCAAGGCATTGGTATGGTACTGTACATGTAAATCTCACAAATCTTTTTGGGAAATTACTCTCAGCTACATCATTCACAATGGAATGTATTTTTGTAACAATGCATGGTAAACCATGGTTTATTATTCCATTCCAGACATGCTCCAAGAGAAGTCTTTGCCTCTTTTCCACTTCCTGTGTGGCATCATGGCAGGAACTATGGCATCTGTGGTTACTCAGCCAGCAGATGTCATCAAGACACATGCACAGCTCAACCCATCTATGTATGGCAACATCAGAGCATGTGCATTGCATGTTTATCAGGTGGGTTGGAAACAAACAACTTGAAAACATAATAATATTCGTAAAACAAAAGTGTGAACATTACTGTGACTGTAACTGTTGCAACGCTGTACAAATATTCATTCACATATATCACATCACCATAACTGTTACTGAAACATGCTGTTTCCATAACAGAAATTGCTTTTTGCTAGTTCCCTTCGGAAGTGGGGTAGCCTAATGGTTAAAGCGTCATCACAGTCACTGTAAACCTGGGTTCGATTCCCCACATGGGTACAATATGTGAAGCCCATTTCTGGTGTCCCCTGCCGTGATATTGCTAGAATATTGCTAAAAGCGGCGTAAAACCACTCTCACTTACTCCCTTAGGAAGTTGTTGTGCTTTGGAGTGCAAAAATTCTCACTTGAGATGTAAAGAGACTGAGCACACTGACAAATCTCTAATAAAATAATGTGAGACTGTATCAGAAACTTACCATGATCTTACATCCAACTGCAGTCTGTAGGGGACAGGTTTGAATGATTGTGTCTTTGTTGAAATGACTGGTGGTTTGTAATGGAGGATATACTTCTTACAAGGATGTATATATTTTACAGAAGGATGGTTTAGTTGGGTTTTGGCGAGGAATCATTCCACGAACACTGCGTCGAACCCTCATGGCATCTATGGCATGGACCATTTATGAGCAGGTGTGTATCTCCGCTAACCAATGAAAAGTGTTCAGATGCTTAAAGAACAAAGTTGTGTTATGCCTTAATATTGGTTGGAATTAACTGAGCTTTCACTGTCTTAAGGTTGGAAAAACAAACTTAAACATATACAAAAACTGGAATTGGTGCATTTCGTCCATGCAAGATGCATAAAACATTTCCTCTAACTCTGTACTCCCTTAATGTTGTGTTATGCCATTTATCTTTTCTGTGTAGTCATTATCAGATAACTAACAGTTTGAAGTACACTTTTAATCCAGGAATTTTCTTGTTTATTTCAGGCGATGAGACATTTTTGCCTCAAGACATAGCACTGTCTTCATCTAGACCATCAATTCATCCTCAGCTGGAATTTCGTGTTACAATTTACACAGTTCAAGCCTTTTGAATTCAACATAGCATCCCTTAGTCATGCTAACTGTGCTAACAACTGTTGTCCAACAAAGTCAGAAGAGTTCTGACCTTGAATTCGTTGTAATGCTGTTTTTGAATGCATTGTGATGGATAAATCTATGCTTCTTGATGGAGAATGCTTTCATGGATCATGAACAGTTTGTAATGCATGCTAATGAACAACCTTGAATTCATCATGGTGATGCACCATGGTGAAAAATGCTTTAGTGAAGAACAGAACCTACTACAGAATCGTTTTGTTCAGTATGTATCTTTATCAGGATGAACACTGTTTGACCTGCGGTTTGAAGTATGGATTACAATGTTGTCTTTCCTGAAAATGAGGGCTTCCATAACATGGCAGTTTTCATGTACTGTTATTCTGTACCGGTGATTCTGATTCAAGATCGATGAAATAATAACATTTTAAAATATGATGACTCTCTGTGATAAGGATGTGCTAACACAAATCTAACTGCCGACGCATCTACACAAATACTTTGCGAGAAACCTACATAAGGGACAGTTTATGTTTTGTCTTTATGTCTTATATGAGTACATATGACTGCTTCTGAACTTAAACAATACCACATTGTCTGTTTGCATCTATGATGCACAAGTTCAATCTGTGTATTCTGAACAAATGGCTGTTGGGGAAATATTTTGATGAATATCACAAGAGCGTGGTATAAACAGTAGAGGACGCAACCTGTACGCAAGACTGGTCCCTTTGTGCAAGTGACTGCTGGGAGATGGAAGAGTTGAAACAATTCCATTTCTATTTTTATTATGTTTGATGAGAGCTTAACATTCTGTTTATATATATGTGTAACGATGTTGGTACCTTCTAGATGGAAACAATCCTCTTGCACAAGTGTAGTTATGCTTGTTATCTGTCAGACTTACGGTTGCATATTTGTAGCTTTTTTAATTGGCACCTCAGAAAATAAGTAACGTCTGTGGTGACTAGCTGGGAACTGCAGGAGCAATGGTTTCAGCAGTCACATTGAAGCAAATATCAAACATGCAACATCAAGTGCAATGATGTGTAGGGGTGGGTATTGCAAAGAACTTTCATATTGCGATATATTGCGATGCGAAAGCATGTATTGCGATATGTATTGCAATATATTGCAGGACGTTAATGCTTGATTTATAAAGCAAAAGCACAACAAAATCACTATGCCTGATTAAGCTTTAATAAAAACTACTTTACCATTGCATATTTTACATACCGCCTTACTCTTACCAATAATTCCATCTACCGTGAACTTTTTCAACCCAAAATGCTACCTTACCGATGCCTTTGCCCTAGTATTTGGCACCACAATAAATTGTTCGTTGTTGGGGGTCACCATTTTACAACACACGCATGGCTTCCGGTGTAAAAGATGGAAATATCCGAAGATTTTCGAGTGTTACCAAGTTTTCCGAATGCATGTCAAAATACCGGCTTTCGATCAACGTATCACAATAGTATCGTTTTCATGTCTGAACCGGTATATACCGGTAAACCGGTTATATTGCGCAGCCCTAATGATGCGAGACAGGGTCAGGAGGACACAATCTGCTTTCCACCTCACCCTCATGCTACAGCCTCTAAGAATGATTCCTTTGTAGCAGCAACTGCATCTTAAAAACATTGTTTTGGTACATTTTGTTAATGACGATGGTGTCTGTTTATTCTAAAGTGTACTCTCGGTTGATAACAATGTTTATTGTTTGTGTTATGTGATACATTGCCAGGTGATATGTTTGTGGAGTAACATCTCACATAGTTTGAACCTGTACATGCATGATGCTTGGTGATCATTTGTTTACAATCTATGATGAATCAAACTTGTAGATGAAAAGCATCTTCAGAATCCATGTTGAATCTCACTGTGCACATCTCACTGTGAATTTATGCACCATGTAAATATATATTTCAGTGTGTTGATCTGATCTCGTGCATTTGATGATTCAACAAGCATACCCTGGTTGTCAAAGTAGAAAATACACTCATCACTGGAAGCTGTTTCATTCAGTGCAAGATTTCTTTTAGTGGCTATTAGAAACCCATATGAATCATAAAATAGATTTTACCTTGTTATCTCATACTGAGGTTATTTATGAGAAAATGCAATAAACGTATTTTGAATGTATTTCAGGAGTTATTGCTTATTTAATATTTGTTTCTGTTTGTTGCTTGTACATCTCAGGGGTATCAAGTTAGTAAATAGAGGATATTATATGAGGGCCCATGTCATACTATGTTTAGGACACGAGTGCCTAAATGTTGGTATTTCCCGAGCGAGTGATATACCGATATTTAGGCATGAGTGTCGTAAACATAGTATGATATAGGCACGAATATAATATTCTGTTTATTACCGAAGTCGTCAAATTGAGGAAAATAAACCCAAATATACCTTCAAAACAGGCTGGCTACCCGCCGTCGCCGCATGTAGAACGCAACGTCACAGAAAAAATGTGACGTCATAGCCTTGTTCATGATGTCACGTCACCATGTGATATTTTGCCCTAGGGCATCGTATGAAAAACATGAACCCCGATATGTTCGCCTTCGTAGGTAATAAATCTGATTATCTACCGGTAAATACTGGCCATCATGTGCCATAGGAGAAAAACAATGTTATGATTGCAGGGTTTGTTTGTTGCTAAATGCGGCATGCGTCACTCAGTGTATAATATGTTCTTTTCTGTGGTCCAGGCTCTATGGTCTAGAAGCCAGACCCCCCAAATGGTGAAAATGTGGTGCAGTTCTGGCGACCAAACGGGATGTGATTTTTCACAATCAGGAATGATTTAGCTTTGATTTAAAGCCGGTTGTCATCAGCTACCCCGCGTGACTACCGTACAGAGGCCCTTTTAAGGTGCAACATGTCATGTCAGTTATGGCAATATTTTAACCGATAACTGGGTGGTTTAATTTAATAACTTTGTTTTGGAGTGACCGATTTTCATCAAAATAGTAGTTTTGGAATGCTCAGATCATGATTGAAAATTGTGGACAATAATATTACATATATGTTCATCGCAAAAATATTTTGGTAAGGTCAAAGGTCAGTTTTAATAGAAAGGGCATTTGATGAGAAAATATGAGTTGAACTTTACAAAACAAAGGTAATTGTTTCCAAAATTATGTTTTTCTAATTCAGCTACATCATTTGAAGATCATATATACCTTTGGTTTGCACTGTATGCATGAAAAAACCATTACAAGGAAACAAAAGTTGGTACTTTGTATCTAGGTCAGCAAACTATTATATAATGTCTGTTCAACAGTAACAGCTCCATGCTTTACATAGTCAACGATACCAAATATGTCGATGATACTGTCGGACTATCTCTAAAATCACACAACATAACAGAAAGCTCTTAAATGTAAAATTCTATTATTCCAGATGTCTTTCTTTACTCATCAAAGAATGATGAGTCAGCCATGTCATCATAACTCAAGCAACATTTCCTTCATATCAGTTAGTGTCTATTGTTCCTAATAGTCATAGTGTATTCCTAGTTGATCACGGGAACATGTTTCAAGTCCACATCCACATGCCGAAGTACACAACAGGTTCAACCTCTTTGACACCTTCCGTACATTGACTTTTACGTGTACAGTTATGAAGTTGGAGAAGGTCCACGGAAACCATTTAGTCTTAACTTATTTGCAACTTTATCAATTTTACAAATTTTAGGTAATTTTACCAAAATTATGTTTTTATAATTCAGCTATATCATTTGAAGATCATACATATCTTTGGTTGGCACTGCATGCATGAAACACAACAATTCAACTGATGTCAGAAGGAGATATGTTTTGATAAGTGTCAATATTGTTTATATATGTGTCACTTCACGCTCCAGCTGCAATGACATGCCGTGAAACCCTTACAGTTGATGGATAATAGTATGACATCCTAATGAAAGGTTTACAAGTGACATTATGGTGTTCCATTTTTTTCTGTTTACAATGTGAAATATTACGACTTTGGTTTGATTTCTTTTTTTACACCAGCAAAAGATATGACACGCTGATCAGAAAGGCGTTATGGTATCTTACCACCAAATGTACACACCCGTCATATACCTCTGAAATACTTGCAGCTCCTGTAATTATGCTCCGGGTATGCTTATTGTTTTTTCAAGACCATATCTATGTTTCTGAATTTCTCCCACATTAAACAAACTGTTGTTAGATCCAACATTACACTTGCACGCTGTGTAGCCTTTTTATGGCATTGGGTTTTTGTGCGTGCGTTTGTTTATTATTTTCTTTGTTGCAAACAAACTGTCCATTGCGTTGTGATTTTACTGTCCCGGAGTTGACAGATTATAGTTTTAACCGTCGGGTGATCGAACGTTATTCTAGAGATATTTGTTGTGAAGAAGAATGTTGGTGTGATGGAATGTGTTATCCATTTTGAAGGAGGGACACATTATTATGGTTGTGATTAAGAAAATATGCTGGATCAGAGTGTGGTGTAATTCTGGATAATTGTTTATCGCCTGACCCTAATTCATAGCTCTCAATCAGCTAATTTCAAATTAACATTATACCCATGCACGGATCTGAGCACCCCTGTGATAGCACTTTAACATCACAGCACAGCACAGAACCGCACCGCACCGCACAGCACTCGGGCAAGAAGGCAACAAGGTTCAAGTGGCAGAAGAAACATTTAACAGACCAGTTAAGTATACTAGGCGTCATTAATAAAGGGTCAAACGATATATAGCACATGTAAAGAAAGGTTTTTCAGAAATAATAGAACTAAGAGTGTCATAATGTGTAATGTACTGACAAACATGACACATCGTGACATATAGACAAAAAGTTCAAACAACACTAGCAAACATCGGTTGTATAGACCAACCCTCCAAATTGAAAATGACAAACATGAAGCACTCGGTCATTCAATATCTTGTGTACCCTCCTCGCGCGTCCAAAACACAGGTTCACCTTGTTCCCATGCTCCTTATCAAGTTCATAAAGAAAGCTCGAGGAATCGCATTCCATTCCTCCACTAGAGCTCTGCGGAGATCCACTGGCGCTGGGTGACGTGTGTACACACGTCGACCGAGTTCATCCCAGGCATGCTCAGTTGGGTTGAGGTCTGGTGTGCATGCTGCCCTCTCCATCCGCTCTACACCCTCTGCCTAAAGAACTCCATGACAATCCTTGCAGTAAAGAGGGTCGACCATTAAAGTCATGCATAGCTTGCAGGAATGGCACTGTTATAGGAGGCAGAATCTCGTCCCGATAACGCTGTCCGGTACGAATAGGGCTGGACATTGCCCTGATTCTCATATTGCGATATATTGCAATAATTCAAGAGATATTGCAATATATATTGTGATATATTGACTGGAAGGTTTCTGTCCAAGTTCGTACATCATAAATTAATAATAGGTCTCTGTGTGCGACATCGTCTTCTTAGTTACTGTTACACCATACTTTCAGGCTCCCTGTCCCCATTGTGTATGGGTGTATGCCAGTGGTGTACAGATAAATGATATAGAGCCTTAATGTGGAATGTTTCATTGAAGTAACTGTATTGCAACAAAGTTTTGCGAACATAATGATAAAGGTAACAGTATAACATGATTTTCATGGTCAGTGTTGTTGGCTTCAACAGAATGCACTTCAATGCAGTATGTAATTATTTTTTACTATTTGTCAGTGATTCATTCAGATTTAACTCCAGTATAAACATGTGTTAACATGAACTGTCTCACCCCCAGAGGTGAGACGGTGGTCAAGCGTTGCAGGACACTGGGCGAGAATGTGGAACACAAGCACAAGACGATGTGGGCAGAATCATCCACCAAAAAGAACTGGAATCTTCGTATTAAGTCCTATCTACAGAACATCAGCTTTAATATCCCAAGCCCAGATACTCCCATTGAAAAAAAACTGTTACTAAAACTTGTTACGTGTCAGAGTGGGAGAAGAAATTACAAGCAAGTACAGCATGCCGAGGGTTGGGTGGAAACAAACTTCGATCATACAGAACCTTTAAGACTACTTACGCCCCAGAACTGTATGTTCGAATCCCGATATTAAGAGCACAAAGAAGTTCATTTGCAAAATTCAGATGCGGAATTGCGCTCCTTAGAATCGAGACAGAAAGATATGAAAACACCCCAGTGGAGAGGAGAGTTTGTCACAGGGTGGAAGCGCTGTCCACACGAAATGTGGAGTTGCCCCAAAAGCAACTCCATTTCCTCGCTGGACAGTGAAAGAAGGACACGTGGCGCAAGAGTAAAGGTAGGTTTTCCCT